TATATATATATATATATATATTACTCTGCCTATACATCACACGCGTGGAATGTATGCCACTTACATAACCCATTGCCCAGATTTCCCGCACTGTGCTTTTTGTGACACAACTTGATCCAAAGGGTTAATGAATAGCAAACATACTCATTGATTTGTGAAATAATATTGTAGAAAGCCATTTAACATCATTAGTATCAGAAACGGCTGAACTGTTTGATTTGATGTACAAAGTTGATTATACATATTTGGGTGACCAAATTTATAGAGGAAAAGTTTCTGTACGTTTGAAAAAAGATATATAAGGAATGATGGATATTTTTGCGCTAAGAATTCAAACCCTTCAATTTACAAGATATAAATGCTTTATTCCTTGAAATATATTTGATTGTCTTCTAGGATTTTTTTTTTCTTTTTTTTTTTTTTTCTTTGCTGCTATTTTTAATTCTTTATTATTTTTTAACACATTTTCTTTTTAATTTTCTAGTGTAAGTCACGTGAGGTATACCTACAGTGGGTAGAGCAGTTGAAACAGCACCGTCTCCACAAGCAGCACCAGATTCTTTATAGTAAAGATCAAGTAAAGCTTACTTCACCAACATCACCATCAGATGACTCACCAACAGGTATAGTTTGGATTGTCAAAAAGTATTATAATGACTTTTTAATTTTCATTGATAATTTTGTTCATTCAGATATTTCTTTGGCTGTTGAATATGAAATAATTGATGACTAGGAGTAGGAAATAGTCATTCATTGATCTGTCGGCGTAATTGTGATGAAGATATGGGTAATGGACTAAAATGATATTGTAAAAAGAAATTTAGTATTAGAGATATAGTTAAGTAAACTTGGGATTAAAGCACAATTATGTGTTCTGATGAACATAGAATATAGTGAAGAAAGATCAAAGTAATATATTTTGAGATCATTATGCTTGTGTATGTGGGTGTGTATCCTTGTATGTATGTATGTATGTAGTTTATTATATAGTGAATCTAATGGTAGATCAGCTAAAGGGTTAAAAGTATAAGTAAATTCTTACTTTAAACACACAGGCCTAGCCAGGATTCACACCAGTGAACAAAATCTGTTTGTTGTTGGCTTGCTCCCAATGGTAGTTGATTGGTAGTACATCCCCATAATTTGTCACCCAGTTATTCATTATTTCACTCTTTTGTCACTAACATTTTTTGGACACAGTGTTAGTCATGTTTCAATCTTTCATTATAGGGATTTCAAAAGTTTATACACATTTCCATAAATACAGAATAAAAAAATAATAAAAGTAGTTACAACAGTTTATATTGGGTGCTCATATTGACTGTCTAGCTTCATTTTTCAGTGATGTTATAAAAAAAAAGAAAAAAGATTGAAACATACTAGAAATGTCTTTGCTGTTTTGACATTTAGCAAGTTCTTGGCAGAGTTTTGTAAGAAAATGTGTAAAAATAACATTCTAAGGGTAATTCTATTAAATAACTTCATGGGTAATTTAGTGATGCCTTTCACATCCCTAAAAGATATACCATATATCAGGGAGACGAGCACAAATGTAGATGCATTGCTCTTGGAAGTTATTTAACCATAAGAATTCTGAAATACAGTATCACTTAGCATTCAGTGACATTGTAGAGTAGCTGGTAAATTCATCCTAGTATATATATACACACTCAGGACTCAAGAATTATTAAAGCAAAAGAAGCAAGAAGGAAGCAGATTACCCTTCATACATATTTAAACAATGTCACATTGAACATTGAATACATGACAATCCTTAACCAGTCACCTCGATCACACTTGATTCCTCAGTAAGATGAAATGGCTAACATAAAAGACTGATCCTCTCTTACCTACCAGATCATGATACTAGTTTGTTTTGCCATATGCCAGCAGCCACCCCCCAAACTTATGTGACATGTGTAATAATAGCACAATATTCCAGAACATCTAACATTTTGCATTTCTCTTTTCTAATAATTTTTATTTCATAGATATGTATGTATTACTCTTTTTAGTATTATAATAAGAATATACTTACAGACTATATGCGTGCAGTCCCACCCTTTTATATTATATTCTTATGGGATATTTTGTATCACTATTCAGCAAATCAGCATGTTTTATTACATCTTATTTTTCTGGTCTCCTCATTAATGATGAAGGATGGGGTCCCTCTTAGTAAATTTGATGTCACGTGACCAATCACCATTGCCCCACTCAAGTGATGCTATATGTCATATCAACTTTCCATCATATGTTCTGGCATCCACCAGACTGTGGTAGATGGTGCGACTATTTATTGTACATACCCTAGTTTAACAAAGATGCATTAACCACAGATGTCTATAATTTAAGGAGACTGCCCCTAAATGGGGGGGGGGGGGAATAATGGGGTTGGGGTCATATTGGTAAATATTTAAAAAAAAAAAATCAAATTTTCTTGATTTTTGGGTATTTGATGTATTTTGATATTCAGCATCTTTAGATACCAAATATATTGGGGTTCCCATATGGGGGGCTGATGGCCCCTGCAAAAAAAAAATATTTTTATATTTTTTATTATTATTATTATTTTTTTTCTTCTTCTTCTTCTTCTACTTACTTATACTTTATACTTTACTACTTATACTTATACTACTTCTCTTCTCTTCGTCTTCGTCTTTGTCTTTGTCTTTGTCTTTGTTCTTCTTCTTCTTCTTCTTCTTCTTCTTCTTCTTCTTCTACACGTGTCTGCACCGTTGATTCCTTGTCCCTTAGGATTATGAATTATATCATGAAAAAAAAATGTGAATGAACATCAATGGATTCCTGAGACAACTACATATCCTTTTTTTTTTTCTTTCTTCTTTCTTCTTAGTTTCCTCAGAAAAAAAAGTAAAAATCAATCATGTTGACCTTTTTTTTTTTCTTTTTTTTTTTCTTTTTTTTTTTTCAATTTACAAAAATTTGTATAAAAAGAGTAAGCAAATTTTCAAAGGCTGATATGATGATGTCTACACATTTTCAAAGGTATCCAAAGATATATACAAAATTTTAATCACATAAAAACTGGGGTAAGGAATCGTCCGTAGCTCGAAAAAAAAAAAAATGAAAATCAAGCAAACAGAAAGTTAGATATTTGAAGTTATTTCTCTTTCAAACACACTTTGTTAGGTAAAGATATGATCATTAGTCTCCGAGGTATACAAACAAACAAACAAATGACTCCCATGAAAAGGGGCAAATCCAGACCCAAGGCAACATGACCATTATATAAAATCGGTTGTTTCCTGTATTATGCCTATTTTATTAATCTTGTATATACATTCGATTATGTCATACAACTTTCCTCTGGTTTTACTCAGTCTAGGGATATCCAGAGGAGTATGAACCACTGGTATTTCCATGCTTAAATAACTTATCTTACATCATTTTTAAGAAATGACTTATTTCAGCAAAGATAATTAAACACTAGAAAAATGTTAACAATTATAGATTTAATGTCATACCGTTAAATATAACGTAGAAGTCCTTATAAATCCTGCTTATATAATAATATGAAACACAAGTATAAATAAAATTAATAAAACTGTAATGAATATTACGACAACGTTGTTAGTCTTTGCCAGAACACGTGATCATGTTTAAATCACATTTCAATGAATAAATGTCAAAACAACGTCCACACATGTAGTATGAAAATATCACTGAGAATTTCAACTATTCTGCTGGAGTACTGGTTATGCACGACAAGTGAAACTAGGGTAAATTCAAGCAATGTAAAATAAGATGCAAATCTTACGTCAAACCCAGGCCGCCATGATCCACTGACAACCTGCAAACATTCAAATCAAAACCAACTAGACTTTGTTTACGCCAATGTGGCAATTACAAATGCCTTTCAAATTAAGTAATTTTACTTTACCCCAAATAATTATGAAACCATTCTCATTTACACAAATAAGTTCCAATAGACTATATAAGCATTTACGAATACAAAAGAATGAAAACGTATTCAACGTGACCAAAGAAAACGGTTTAACTTAACGCTTAACAATAGACTATATCACATTCTTTATGAATTTCCTTATCATTTTACATAATAACTACATGACAATTACATGTGTATACACATGTATATTGTTGTAAAGGTAATGTACGTGCACATGTATATGGACATATACCTATTTAATTTTTTATTTTATTTGTTTATTTTATTTTTATTGCAGTCTATGTTTCTGCATCTTCTAACCATGTGATTCCGCCTCGAAACAAGCGATAAACATTTAGTCACGAGAGGAGTACTTGTTATGGAGAGACTGAATTGTTTTGTGTTCGTTAGAAATTACCATTCAGAAAACGTTGATATATCAAAAATATTTTGAAATAGAAATCGCTTATATTCGTTTATCATGGACAAATATCTGATACCTATATAACAATAGGTATCAGATATTTGTAGGGCGATTTTAGGAATTTACATGAATAAATTATATCATACACTTTCTTTACATTTATTTTTTTCGTAAAATGGATTTATAATGACATAATGATGTTTAATCGCTTATACAGTTTCAGATGAAAGGGCATCTGTATAATTATTGCAATCAGAAAAGTCTAAAGCAGTGGCAATGCTTGAAACTCTGTCGCGTGGGTCCCTCCGAGAGAGCTGTTGATAAGGGGGAGTGCCCAGCCAGTGTAAATATATATTCGTTGCGAGTTTATTTTTAGAGATGCAGACCCTAAACATACCTGTATGATGAATATGTCAAAATCAAATCATCTACTTTATTTTATGGAAAAGAAATTTGAAAAGTCGCTTAAGGATTTTTTATTTTTCTTAGTTTTTCATATCATAAATCTTTCACTTTCGGAAAAAAAAATTATAATTAGACACTTTTACCTTCCTGTGATCCGTTTTAATAGGTAATGTCATTATGCAATGCATCATTTTCACTCCTGTGAAGCGAGAGTGTGGAAAGGTGAAAATTGCTGACACTGGCAATGAGACTCTGGGTTCTGACCTTGAGCGCTGCCCAAAGTTTTTGTTGTGAGGGTTCATGTTCGAGTGGGTAATTCTAACCCCCCCCCCCATGCATGAAAATATTTGGCTTGAAAGGAGGATGACATGAACATGGCATTCTGGGAAAATTTGAAGATAGAATAAGAACTTTGCCTGAAGGCTGGGTGATGGGAATGACTTAACAAAGCATTTAGAGGGTGATCAGACACAGTGGGCAATTAAGGAATGGTTAACAATAAAGCCACCCATGATAACTATAGTACATATACAAATAATACTAACACTATAAACCTTAAAGATGGCAATAAAAATATTGATATCTACCTCAGTTTTGTCTATGATATCATCATGTGTTATGGTATCAGTAATATTAAGATGATATCAGTAATAATGATAACATTCACAATATAAATATTAGTATTGATGACCAAAAATTCAAAGGGAGATGTTATTAGAATCCTGAGTTGGAGCTTACCCTACAAGTAAGTTATGTACACGCCTCAATTTCTGGAACACCAGAAGTGTTGTTACAGATGTCAGAGACAAGGCACCTAAGCCACTGTGCAGTATGATTAAGCAGCTGATGTCTGTGATGACCACTTTTAATTCAATATTTTCTACTAGTGTTGCCATTTCAGACACTGGGTATAAAATATATGTATATAAATCTAATTTGTTAGTTTAATCTTTTTTATTTATAAAATAGCAAATACTTAGCTATGATATTCACTGTGTTTGAAACAGGCCAACTTGATTCATATGTATAATTATTTTTCTTATTTATTGGATTTTTTTTTTCTTTCTTTCTTTCTTTTCACCATATTACATCAATAAGAATATAATGTTATATTTTTTCTTGTATTAGATCCATTAGTACCTGGTGGACGAACATCCCTGCCTGGTTCCTTACCTGGCTCTCATCCTGGAACAATGGGTCGTGAAGGCAAGTCCAACACTGGCACCACATTGACTGGGGCTGCTGCGGGTGGGTATTCAGCTTGCTTATAATTTTGTTATGCACCCACAGTAGTTGTGTGCATACTGTCGTGCCACAGTACAACAGTCCTTTTTTACCGTATGTATGTTAATTATCAACTCCATAACTTGAGGTTTATGAGGATGGAGTCTCTCACTCTCTATTTCCATCTCTCTCCCACTCTCTCTGTCTCTTTCTCTCTCTCATCTTCCACTCTCTCTGTCTCAGTCTCTCTCTCTCTCTCTCTCTCTCTCTCTCTCTCTCTCTCTCTCTCTCTCTCTCTCTCTCTCTCCTCTCTCTCTCTCTCTCTCTCTTCTCTCTCCTCTCTCTCTCTCTTTTCTCTCTCTCTTCTCTTTTCTCTCTCTCTCTCTCTCTCATCTTCTCTTTCTCTCTCTCCTTCTCTCTTCTCTCTCTCTCTCTCTTCTCTTCTCTCTCTCTCTCTCTCTCTCTCTCTCTTCTCTCTCTCTCCTCTCTCTCTCTCTCTCTCTCTCTCTCTCCTCTCTCTCTCTCTCTCCATCTCTCTTTCTCTCCTCATCTCACACTCTCTTCATCTCCCACTCACTCTCTCTCATCTCCTCACTCTTCTCATTCCCATCTCTGTGTCTCAGTTTTTCTTCATCTCCCACAATCTCTCTCTCTCTCTCTCTCTCTCATCTTTCTCTCTCTCTCATCTCTCTCTCTCTCTCATCTCTCTCTCTCTCTCATTCATTCTCTCTCTCTCTCTCCTCATCTCTCTCTTTCTCTTCTCTCCTCATCTTCTCTCTCTCTCTCATCTCTCTCTCTCTCTCACTCTCTCTTCTCTCTCATCTCTCTCTCTCTCTCTCATCTCTCTCTCCCTTACTC